CCTACATGAACAAGTTTGAGGAGTAATTAAATATTCCCCATTACTGCTGTGAGTGTTCATGTAATATCTAGATGATTAATTTATAATCTGCTCGCATGACAGAGAAACTCTTAAAGTTTCTCAATAATATTGATGAAGTGAAATTCACCCTGGTGTTATGTGAGGACAGGATATTACCGTTCTTGAACCTAGAGGTGATTTAATAATATAACTTTTAGAGACGGTTATTTCGAAAGAAATCTTATTGAAATAATCCTCAACTATTAATCTCAATCGCAGACGGATGATAGCAATAGTGAGAATTATAATCAGGATAAATCTAAGACTGATATATGCGGGATTGAGGTATGGATAATTTAATAAATTAACTTGTATGTTTTTCGGCAATGGATATCCAACAAAACATACGCTAAGAAATATACGGGTCGCGATGAGAAAATGATCACGAAAAAGAAATAGGTAAAACAAATGCTCTAAATTTAAATGTCCACTCTCACGTTAACTGGCCCTGAAGCTGTTGATGCTGATAATGAAGCGGAGTATTTGTACATTTTTTCAAGAAATGACCATAGCTTTCACAAGCTTACTCAAAATGAAAAGTTAAACAAATTCCATTGCTCATGAGTTTACTCTTTTAAGGACAACGATTAAAACAAAGTAACATGAGAAAAACGGGGGAACGAATAAACATAAGCACTTTAGAACACCGGCGATTATGCAATCTCACAAAGATGGGGCATGATGTATTGCACTGACCAGTCACAACATCCACTGGAAACCAAATGAAAGGCTGATCTCAGAGAATGAAAATACAAGAAAACGGAAGGCCATGATAACACCATTGTTCCAAGGAAACTAAGTTACAGGAGACTTGAAGATGGAAAGGTGACAAAAAATCAGCTTACCTTTTAGGCAACCTTTGAATTCAGCAAGCATGGCATAAATGATATTCCTGGATCAGGGATAGCACTTGAACAATAGGAAGAGGCATCACCGGAAGGAGAATTTTTATGTACGAATGGAAGTTAAGTGAAGTTGAATCAGCTTCAATAAGTTGCCGGGTTAGTTATACCTGGTGACATGCATATAAGGGATAGCGAACATTAAAGATGCTAATTTCGGAATCTAGATATGCTTTAAATCCAGTTATCTCTTAATAGATGAATCCAGAGTGTGGGGTGAATGAGCGTCAGAGACATGTCTGAAAGTATTTGCCTTACTAAGTGGACTTCAGGCTTAGGTAGGATTGATAGACTGAAAGTGGATTTTACCACTCCATACTAGTGGTTCAAAAGGTAGCCACAAGCAGGGACCGAGAGAATGATAGATTTGTGGAGATGAGATGAGATAATAACTTAGCCATCAGGTTTCCCAAACAAGTTGTACTTGGAAAAATGCAGAAGAGGTGAGAATCGCAGTCTTGAAGTCTTTCCTTGATGAGACTCCTTCACATTATATCTTGTTTGGGGTCAATCACGTGCAAAATCCTATTGTAAGACGGATAGTATGGCTAGATGGGCTCGAGGAGCGGTCAGACAAGGCAGCGATTTTCAACTGACAAGTTGCAGGAAAGATAAGACTAAGTAGAAGTGCCGATTTAGTTACAGAAGCCCTGCTATCGGCTCTCTTAACCGATGGTGAAGATGGTTATCTTCACTGAGCTCACTTAAAGCGACACTCTTGGAAGACATTGGAACAAATGCAGTAGATAGGTTAATTGGTCACATGAACTAGGACAAGGAGAGATACTGCAACGATTTTTATCTGTCTTAAGGATGGCATCTCATTGTTGATGTCGGCGAAACGTCTGGGAAAGTATCAAGTTAGCTTTCCTGTGTTGGAAGTTACCAGGACTACTATGGCGGAGTGAAGAGAACTAGATAAGTTTTACGGAGTCTCTCACTCCGACAAGTTGCATAAACGAGTTCAGATCAATATTACGTAGCTAGGGGAGACTGCCAGCAAGCCTAGAGCGCGGTTGCCATCTTGATCTTCATCCAGCCAGCATATATAAAATAATTTTAAATATTGATGCTGTCATACCTTTTATTTCGTTTGAGAAAGCGAGTTAAAGGGATTTCTAAATTGGCCTCACCGGATACCAATGGAGACTTGCCCTGGACTTGTGACTGTTGGATTGTGCGAACAAGACCTCGATTCATCGTCATGAGTCAGTTGGCAATTTCGAGCCCAAACTAGACTCAATGTTAATTCTGCCTTCTCCATATTATTTTAGGCTCTGGAATAATTCTCACCGAGTTGGCGAATGAGGCGTTTTTATACTTTATTTTTTCAGTACCTATTGCTATTTTAACGAAAATGACTGGACAACTGCCATTTTGTGACTATAATTATGTTATTTAAAAGACGATCATTTCTTCTGCCCTGATAACTTTTGTCTTTTTATGCAACTATTTTCTCATTTTCGTTAATTTACCCTCAACTGTGATTTATCTTTAGGGAAAATGGGAAGTTCCAATCCCTAAAGTTCGTGCATTATCTGATGCGGAGGCTTTTAAAATTGTTAGAACTGGCAAGTCAAAGCGAAAAGCTTGGAAAAGGATGGTCACCAAAATGTGCTTTGTTGGAGACACTTTCACAAGAAAACCGCCAAAGTTTGAAAGGTTTATTCGCCCGATGGGCCTTCGAGTCAAAAAAGCCAATGTCACTCATCCTGAACTTAAAACAACGTTTTACTTGCCAATTATCGGTGTGAAGAAGAATCCCAGCTCACCTACGTACACCTCTTTGGGTGTAATAACTAAGGGCACTATTATCGAAGTAAGTCATCAACCATTGTGTCATCGCTATAATAATTTTAATACTCGTTTGACCTTAATGATAACAGACTTCCTTCAATATTTTTGCAATTTTCCTTCTGATAATCTGAGATTTCTGTTTCAAAGGATTTATCCAGATGGAAATAGTATCGTTTAAAAAACTCTGCCAAATCGGTAGAGCCTATAGATTCACGTTTTAGTTACACTCACTTAACTTCATGTTAATGAGTTCTGCCTTTCACAAACATATACAAACTTCTGATTGATAGTTCCTAGGGCATATTCAAAATGCGTAGGAAGGGCGTCAAAAATAGTAAATTCTCATCAAATCATCTTACCTAGTCTCAGCAGTAGCAGATGCGCACTCCATAAAGTACATGAACTTAAAGGCAAACGTGATTGTCTCGCAAGTCGTGACGTTTTTATTCATAGCGGTTATTCCTTCATGATCCTTCTTCCTACTGCTAGCTGATATAGTAGATCCACCATACTAACAACTATCTAGCATATTACTCAGATCAGATTATGTCCTTTATCCTGTTTGGCTGCTCTCCTTTATGCTGGGTGATTTATGTGACACTAAAAATGGTCAATCTTGCATATCAATTGCTCGACACAGTCCCTACTCCACTTACGCTTGTATAGTGAATGATTTTAAATCGAGTGCCTCAGAGGATTGGATGTGTGCAATAGAATAATTATTATTTTCCCCTTCCACGGCATTCTTAGCCACGTTTTACAACGCTCCTGATAGGAACGCAAACTGTTGCTTATTCCCTTGAAATCAGCCTCGACCAAGTCATTTCATTACAGCCTATACTTATAATGAGTACTCGCTGAAAGTTTTTATCTGGATCCTTAGGATGATAGTAACAAGCCATGAGCACATTTATTTTTCGATGAATCTCCTAATGGGTGTTATTTATAGTTGGCATAGTCATGGTTTCTTATCAACATATTCTGGACAGATGCAGTGCAATATCTTTGTTTTGTCTGGGTTTTTTTTACAACAAACTTCGGCAGAATAGAAAAGGTGCTGTTCTAAATACCTTTAAAATAACTTATTGTTGCATTTTCCTTTAATAGGTCTGCTTTGTTGATGGTTTTATTGACTAATTGATAAGTATATATACTCATCTGCATGATTTCATCTTATCGTTAGCTTTACGGATTTTTAGCGAAACTTCTTTATTGCATCGTATAATTTACCACTGGCTTTGCGTGGTTTATGAATAGAATTATCTCTTCAGAATAGCATTTAGGACTAGACACAATTTTCATATCCTTAAGGTCAATAATTTTATGGTTAAATAGCAGATATTTGGATGTTCATACTAACGGCACAGCCTGATTTCGAATCTTCTTGATTCTAAGGAAACCTAGATCAGGTAGAAATTGTGCCTTGCTTTTCGTTATCTTGGCAATATCCACATAAATACTTATAAAAGCATAGTTCAACTTCATCTAGTGCTTTCCTTAGTTAAAGCGATTATTGGTCTTTGCTGACTGACTTCCGAGAACTGAGGATAAATTAATATGAGATATGTAGATGGTAGTCTAGAAACTCTACTTACATACGAAAAATAAGAATGAATTATTTGCTTCCTTTGTGTATATTTTGTTCTTAAAAGGTGATATTTCGTGAATGAGCAACTTATGCTCCTACATGAGATGTAGTAGTCTCGAAACTCTACCTATAAATAAAAGAGTATGTTCCTATGTTTGCAAACCTCATGCACTTTCGCATCTTTTAGCTAGTTTCCAGATATTTTTGTACTATCTGTTATTAACGGGAAAAACTATATTTTTCCTCTGTTCCTACAGCCCTTGTCTCTGAATAAAATTTTACTCATGATCTGCATCTTTACCAGCTTAGTTGCATTTGCCTTTTCTTTATGAACTATTCAGGATTCTGGCCTTTGCTCTGACACTTAGATTAGTTTTGAAATCGCCTTTCATTTCTCACTAGAGCATGGGAACGCATTTTCGGTCACTCTTAGAAACCATGTTTAAAAAGTGAAATAGTAGTTTTCATTTTGCTCGTAACTCTCAAGAATCAAATTTTTCTTATTCTACCCATCCTTTTGTATATTATTATAGTAATCACTAGCTGGTTCTTTATTTTGGGATAAATTCCATCTATGAAAATACAATCTTTTTGTTTGGTATATTACTCTGAAGTAAGTAATGTGGTTTCCTCCATCAAGGATTGGCATCTACAAATCAACCCGATTACACTACCAAATACTCAGTCCTATTGTCTATCAATGTTGTTTCCTTGGAGTAGCGCAGGCTGATTTCTCTCATATATCTGCCAATGTGTTAATTCAAAATTAATGAATTTTATTTTGCAGTACCTTTAGTTATCAGTATACATTTTAACCTTCTGACACATTTATTAACTATATGTAGCCTTAAAGCTATCCAATAATTTTCTGAATTGAATATCCTTTCCTATTTTTGAGCTTTTATTAAGTATATGTTTTTACACCTTTCACTTCGTTTAGAAAAGCTAGTAGAAGGGTTTCGTAAGTTTTTCTCACCAGAAACCTAAGGAGGATTACCTTTGAATTGTGATTGCTAACTTGTGCGTAAAATTCATCAGAGCATCGACCTTCGATTTCGACGAATTTGCTTAGCTTTCATCTGTTATGTAACATAAGTCTTCACTGTAAAACCATTCTTTACGAAGCTTCGCCTTA